TTGCTTTTGTAGAGTCAGGAAGAATGTGTTCCAACATAAACCCCAGCAATTGTGAGCCTCACGGTTGAAAATCTTCTTGCAGTTATGTTTATATGGTTCCTTTGCCTACAAATCTTAGAGAAAGTCTGACTATCTCTTTTTATCCTTTGTCCTAAGTTTTTTATCCTAAGTATCAGACGGAAAGAGAATGTGACCTTCATGACCATTAATCTAGAAAATATTCTGTGGTTCTGTGTCGAATTTCATGGTGCAGAGATGTGACTAAAATTCTTCCAGTACTAACAAAAGATAACGTAATTATTCCTCTGATTTTTGTCCCAGCATGAAATAAACAGAACCACAGAGCGTGCTTATTTGTTTAACAGACCACGTATTTCCATGTTTAGGAAATTTAATGAAATCATAATCTGATATTAAGACTGTATGAAAGATCTCTTTCAGGTTAGAATGATAAACAAGTTGGCTTTAAATCTCAAAATGCTGTATAAGAAGCATTTTAGAATTAGATATATCTATCTAATTGTAGTATTTGTACTGCATTATGTAATAAAACAAGGGAACTGGGAATACTTTTTCCCCACTAAGAAGATGAGATCAATCAGCCTGTGGTTGTGCACTGCTGCATTGGTTTTTCTTTGCTCTCCTTGGTAGAGGAAGTACATTGGTGGGTCAGACCTTACAAGTATCTATTCACTTTGTCTGCAATTCACTATGTGTAAACAATTCATTTTCTGGTTGTCCTGCTCAGAGGATAAATACTGGTGTGCTTTGAGTATCTACAGAGACAATTTTCATCATATTGTAACTCTAAAGAATCAAAATACCAAGATTGTTTTTCTATGTTGGGCACCTCTTCATTGTTTTGATTTAACCATTTACCTTCTATCTGTAACAGGGACTCTTGACATATTTAAATATGTCAAGCATATAGCTTGGCATATTTAAGGTGCATTTGGCTTTCAGTCTTAGTATTCTCATCCAGAAGGAAAAGAGTATGTCCTTACTCTCAGACAGTTTTTTTTCATGGTTATTGCCGTACTGTTTTTACCCATAAGGCTTTAGCAGTCATAGCTGGAGCCAGGCTGAAAAATTACCTGGGCTGCTCTGAATTTACAGCCTATCAGAAATGAAATTTCAGAATCCTGCTTGACCATCCAGCACATCTGACATTTAATTTCAGATATGCTATAGGAAATACAGTCAGTTGAGATTAGTATTTCTGCAGAGTCTTGGCTAAGTTTAATTAAAAGTTATGTACCTTTACAGAAATTACATCTTCATTTGTAAGTTGCTGGTTTCACTGTAAGTGAAAGCATAATTTTTAATGGTCCTGATGGATTTATATTTATCTAAAAAAATATTTGGAGCTGATAAGGTTGATCAGGAAAGTATCCTTTAGGCAACTGCCAGATTTGTATTTATGTTCAACTACTAAGCAAACCAAAAAGTGTATGTCACTTGTACATGATCGAAATAAATATTTTTTTCGGGTTTCATTGATTTGGAATCTAGTTACAATGGTAACCTAAGTTACAACAGTAGATAAAATAATTTAAGAGCTGTTTTGAGTATTTTGGACTGGAAAATTCTTTTTGTTTGTATGGGAAGTACTTCTCAGTTACACGCAATGACTGGACAAAAGTAACAAAATTACAGTGCTGAATTGAATTAAACTGACCAGGTCATTCAGGTCCTGCTGCAGGGAGGTTTATGAGGGTTTTTTATGTGCTTCATAAAAGAGTTCTGATCTGCATTTACAGTGAGCTACTAAAATGGTGCCAATTATTCACAATTAGAGTAAATATTTTTTCAGGTTTCTGTCTTTTGGAATTGAGGTTAGAACATTCAGTGAAATATTCAATGGCACTTCTTACTAAACTGGGCACATGTGTGTGGGAGGTAGTAAGAGACTCACTGGAAACATCTGTTCAATACTCCAGACCATTTGTATTTTATATAAAGAAATGCCAGGCCTCTCAGTAGGAAGGCAGCTGTACCACTAAGAAGAAAACATTTGCCACTTTCAATTTTGATCTGTTGTTTTTTCAGCTGTGGACAGGTCCAAAATTACTTTTGTCCATCAGCAGGTTGTTTGTCCATTCTGATAAATCCAGGTTTCATAGTTCTAGGCCTGGAGCGGCCTCCAGGCCAGGGCCATCAGCACGGCAGTTCCTGCTGTCTGTGGTCTTGGCCATGGACGTGCACAAGGAGAGCTAAGTCTTACTTACTGCTGCCTAACTTACTTCTGTCTAACTCCTGGTGCCTATGGGAGTGTGGAAGGGCTGGTCGAGCTCTGTGGGGAGGCAGAGGGTCATGCTCATCTGCTGAGACAGCCCTGGCTGCTCCCATGGCGGTTTCTCACCTTTGTGCAGGAAGGGCCACAGGCCTCCGGGCTGCCTTCGGCACCTGGCGTCAGCTGTGGGTTGATGCTGCAGTTTTGGTTAATTACTGAGAGGGACTTAATAAATGGACTGAATTTTATTACTAGGAAACTGAGTTTACTCGTGGCTTCATAAAAAATAGAAGAAAAATTAAATTGGGAAAATGCAATCTTACTAGCTGATTCCCCCGTCTGCATGTTTGTCCTCTACATTACCATATCCCTTGCTGTTTGTTGTCCTGCCTTGCCTTCTTCAGTGTTTTTATCACACCAAAGTGAAAGCTAGCATAAAACTGTCAGAAAATGTCAAGGAATTGGTGAACACTGGGATTGGTGCATAAAACAATGCATCAAAGTTTATTCCAATGTAATAGAATGGTGAATGAAATGATAACTTACAGGAGAAATGGTGAAAAAGCTCTGCAGAAAGTAATTTTTGAAATTTTCCCTTAATATAAAAAAGACTGAAGAAAAATAGTTTGATTTTAACAGTTAAAATAATGTATACGGCTGCTATGAACTTTAACTAGCCAGTCCAGTGGTTTCAGTCAATGGCACCGCCCTGGACTGTTCACAATCAAACTTATTAAAGTGAAATATCACAACCTCAGTATTGGTTATTTCAACATGACAATAGGACTGTTGTCCATTTTTAATAGTAATCCTTAGATATATTCATTAGGGCATTTTTAGTTGGGATCAACAGGAAAACAAAGTTTAAGAACTCCTGCTACACAGTTCAAAACAAACAAAAAAATACATTTCCTGATCTTTTATTTCATGCTTACTTAAATCAGCATTTTCAAACTTACCTACAGTGAAATTCTAGCTCCCTCAATTTCAATTTTGCTGTTTTATTCTATAGAACTAAAATTTCACCTGTGAAGTGAGTCTGCACATAAAAGTGTAGTCTGATTTTTTTTAAATTATTTTTAAGACATGTGAAAAACACAATTTACATTAAACCCAGCGGACACTATAGGCCCATGATCCCTGGCACCTGGGCTGAACTTTGAAGCTAATTCTACGAGTTTTCCAAAGGGAAATAACAAAAAGGTCTACATTATAATGGTGACCTTTGCTTGTTTTAGCAGTCACTTCAGAACTGTCAGTCTTGTAGTTTTGCATACAACTACCTTACTTAGTGTTATCCAAATTTTCTAAAATACGTCTGCCCCTTTGTTTTAACCATTCTGCTTTGCAATTTATGCTGTCTACTTGTGTTACCATACTGCCAAGTTTACTACCTGTATTAGCAAAACTGCTACAGAAAATTCTGTCTTCCCATTCAGGCATGCACATGTCTTTGGATTTCTTGGTAATAATTGATAATAACCTTGGTAATGATACATTACAACTAATCATGTCAATATATTAATATGTTAACCTACACAGAACTCTTCTTTCTGATACAGAATCTCACTATTTTAGAAATATTTATTATATTTTATAAATATCAGGAATGTCAATTCTAGTCTTTCAGGTTGACAATGGTAGTTCTTGAATGGTTATCAAGAGCTCATAGAGCAGAAATGTAGGAGATTTCCTTATGTGCGAACGGCAACTAGTCTGTGCAAGCCATACTGGGCCTACCTCACATACAGCTAGGCAGGAATAGCATAAACACCAACCTGGGGGTGCACCAGTTGGATTTATATCAGGTCTACTATTTTAACGCCTCACACAGCAAAAAGGTCAGTAAAACTTACCCCAAGACAGAAACATCTGCTTTGTCAGCCCTGCCACAGATCACAACGTTCACAGCAGGAAAACTGCAGATAGCCAGTTGTTTTTGAGAGATTTATGAATAAGGACAAATAATCTTATTTATTTATTTGGCAACTAGGCAAGATTTAGAAATAGTGTCTAACAACAAAAAATGGTTCAAGACTCAAATGAACAGTGAGCCACACAAAGCCCTATTTTCATTTTTATACTGTACAGTAGCTATCCATTAAGTTTAGAGTAATGCTCTTCATTTTCACGATAAAGCTATATTACAGCAAACATGTAAATGTTACTTTAAAGAATTCTACATTTCTGCTTCACTTTAATCTGTTCTTTTAAAAAATACTGATTTTTTTTCAATTAGATGTTTAAATATATTTGAATTTATAACAACAGAAGCCAGCCTGAAGTACAATAAAAAAGTGTCTGCTTTCGATGCATTTTTGCTACACAAAGTCACAAGTTCAAATAGTAAAACAGTAAGCATATTTCTGGCACGCACATTAAAAAAAAATACTAATCACATAATCCATATCCAGATGCTTATTGGTAAAGTATGCTTTGGAATGCTTTGAACAAGGGCTGTGATTCCTAAGAGCAGACAGATTCATCTCCAGCAGCTGCAGTAGTTACTGACTGAACCTTCTACCTAGAATTAGAATCGGAGCCCTACGGTAAAACTCAGTCAGCGTGAATATGCCTACCACAAATTAGTGCAAACCTACACTCTGTGGCTTGAAAGAAAAAACATTAAAAGTAAAGTGCAGCAACAACGTCTATGCAGAAACTGCAGTGAGTTTTTAAACTGATGAGTTCTAGATTAATAAAACAAGCCAATCAAGCCAGCTTGAGACCCTTATCATGCAAGAGAAGTCCTTCACAAGTGTGGCGTTCATACTTTTTTAGGGTTTATTTCTTTCTGACCATTTCTTGTTTTGGCCTTTTTGGGGCCACTGACCAATGGGTGGGTATTCTTTGCTGGTGGTTTGGATGCCCCACTGCGACCACTGCGTCCTGCATTCTGGTTCTTGCTGTGGGCTGTTCGCTGCTTTTGCTCCTGCAGTCTCTGTTCCCATCTCTGCAGAAAGTGGCAGAAACAAAGAGAGTTAGGGAAATACATTAGCATAAGTAACTGAGTCTTAATCGAGGCTAACCCAGAATCCCAGAATCCCAGAACAGTAGAGGTCGGAAGGGACCGCTAGAGATCATCTAGTCCAACCCCCTGCTCCAGCAGGGAGACCCCAGAGCAGGGTGGCATCCAGGCAGGTTTGAAGATCTCCCAAACCATACTAGTGATGTTCATACTGGTTTCATGTCTGTCCTGCTGGCCATTCATCTCAGTATTTCACTGCTGTTTGCAGCGGTAACCTGCCACCATTCTAGGCTGGGACAACTTCCACAACCTGAGCCAAGGAGATGGCAGGTCTTTATCCTGCAGAGCAAACCCTTCTTATTGCCTCTCACATTTTTTTCAGAAATCCTGAGAAGTTGGCATTGTCACCACAAAGCAAACAATCCTTTCACAATATGTATTTATATGCATAGCTGCAAGAGAAGGTGGTGGTTACTTTCCAGTTCTTCTTCTCCTGGAGGTGCAGAGGACTGAGCAGAAAATGGTTTATATTACAGACAGAACAGAGAGATGACCACCAAAATCACAGCATACTTAGAGGTGCAGTGGGACAGTGGTGAATAATGCTGCGTATGCAGCTCTCTAGCAGCGCTCCTGAGAAATTCTGCAAACCAATTAGCTCAGCTCACCCATCAAAGAGAACAGCTGCCAGATTGGTTAGAAAACAGAATTTTAAAGTGAGGTTAAGAGTTTGGGTGGTCTGAAATACAGAGATTCATAACACTACACTCTTAACACTTATAGGACAGAAAAAAAAGATAATTTTGAGAAAAACTTTTTTCTTAAACAAACAAACAGACAGTTGAGGCTGGAAGGGATCTCACTGTTCCCCTCTCTTTGCCCATTGATCAGAGTGAGCAAAATGCTCTGCAGTTTGGTTGTTTAGTATCTCAGCACTGACCCTGTTGCTATTCAGGGTTGCAGTGTGGCTACAGAGAGATCAGGCATGTTGTGGTTATGTTAACAGATGTCTTCTGTGGCCCACAGCTAGCTCAAAACACTCATTTTAAGTGGTAGCTCAAGATAAAAGCTGGATGCAAGTCTTCAGAGATGAATGATGGGCATTAAAATGAAACCACTGCAATACCTAGGTCATTAAGTTAGCACCATTATAAGCATCTTTTTAAAACAAGTCTCAGCAGGCATTTAGGTGTGTCCCACTGAAACATGCAGAAATTAATATTTAACATATGAAGCTATAAAGAGGAGAGACATTATGTGTTTTGAGAAGTAGTTCATTTTGCAAGAATGTCTCTATTCTGACAGTCTGTGAGTGAATGTCCAAAGCAGCTTCAAAACACAACTAGAAAAGACCAAATAGTGTGAGGAGGACACTAAAACACACTATGTACCAGTAACAGGTCATTAAGTTGACAGCTAAGGCCTTTCAGGTGTCTCAGTCAGTGTCAATATGCACATAAATCCCACCTGGGGCCACCTACAATTGCAACTTTTAAAAAATATTTAAAATATTTATTTTTTCCACATACAGGATTTTTTTTGATTAAATGGGGGGGAAAGGGAATGATGAAATAATCAAATATAATTGAAGGAATTGGTCTGTATTCTCCGCCTCCTATCAATTGGCAATTGGCATTGCAACTTTTAAAAAATATTTAAAATTTTATTTTTCCACATACAGGATTTTTTTTTTGATTAAATGGGGAGAAAAGAGAATGATGAAATAATCAAATACAATTGAAGGAATTGGTCTGTATTCTAAAAGCTCCTGCTGACAGAAGCATCTGCCTTTTTCCGCCTCCTATCAATTGGCAATTGGTCCAAAACTGAAATAATTAAAATAAATTAATGTTTTGAAAACATCTTTTCTGATGAATAACTGATGTAGTTTCTTCTACATAAAGCAAATAGCAGGAAGAGTCTATCTTCTTCATCCACCCTGTTTTTGCATTAAAAGAAAGACGCATAGAAGCAGGAAATGATGCTAAGCACTATTCTGAAGCACCAAGAAGTCAGCTTCTCCTTCCTCCGCTGTCTTTCTACTTTTGACTTTTCACTTCCCTGTCTCCTGAAATGAGTGAGGGGATGCCCAATAGCTTTACTGGGTCTTGAGAGGGAGTCAGCTGCTGAGAAGTCTGTTTCACAAGTCTACAGTCTTCAATGCAGCAAAGTCCATTTACGCAGTGTAGTGGATTTTGACTAGACGTTCTTAATGTGCACTATGTGCTCTGCATATCACTTATCCAATAGCTAGGTGCCTTAGCAGGCATTTGAAAGTAATTACCAGAGTTGTTATTGTAAGATCGTGTTTACCATCCAGCACATCACTCAACCACCATACTTAGGAACAGTTTGCAGATAAAATAGAAATAAAATTTTAGAGACCCTAATATAAAAGATGAAAATGTTCACATTTACACTTACATCCATATGTAGTGATGTACAAAAAATTAGTCTGATTTTTAGAGGTATTAAAATTTTGAAGTGAAATCAATGCCCAGAGGTGTTTAGTGCATTAGAAATTCAAGCACTTTTTTTTTCAGTGCTGAAAGAGAATGTAAGTAAGTGCTTAACTTTTATATCAAGAACTCTCGGCACTCTTTTCCTTCATTGTATTTACCTTAACTCTTTTGTTTAGTTGATCCTTCCATTTTTCAACTAGACATCCATCAAGAAGCATCAACCTGCAAATTAAGAAATAAATGTGAGTTACAGGTAATTCTAGTTTTGAGTCCTGAGATGTCATTTCCCATGATTTAATATACACTGAAGTTGAAATGCACCAGCAGGTACTGGCACTGGCCATTCCTCCCTGTGAGTAGCTCTGCAGAAGACTGGGACACATTTTCCCCATAAAAGTATTTCTAAATGCTTATACTAATACGTCTAAAATTCCATTCCAAGCTCTGTAATCATTTAGATCAAAATCACATGAATATTTCAAACTTATGGGAAAAGAAAATCAAACTTATAGGAAAAGAAAATCACAACCAAAACTGTTCTGAGAAAACATTCAGAGCTCTCTGTCCTCACTTTGCAGGGGAAAATTGTCCTGTCCTAGTCACTGGTAATGAAGATTTAGATTGCATAAGACACCCTATGAAACTCTTTACATTTCTTTATTTTGTGTTTTTAATTATGTTTAATGTGGACATGTGTGAAAACATGTTCTGTATATTACGGATAAAATAAAATGTTGCCCTAAACTAGGAGAGCAGTTATTGTATTTTCCTTTTGAATTGATAAAGGTAAGTTTCATGCACACCAGTAAAATACATTTTAGCTGATGAATGGTAACATGTTTTCTGATCATTTGCAGTCATCTACACAACTACCTATAAATATATTATGAAGATTTACGAAGTGAATATTCTAAAGTGAAGTTAGAAAATGCACGGATGGTGACGTTTGTCTACCAATGACACCTGGCTAACTCCTATTTGAGTGTGCTAGTCAAGCCATGAAATTAATGAAGTAAGTGTAACTATTACTAACACATGCCTCGAAAAGCTTTCATTATACTCTGCTTATTCTAAAACACTCTGATGTCACGCCTTCCAGGTCCTAACCTAGAAACTATTATTTTTATAGCACAGAGATGATGGAATTTCTATATTTCCTGTTTTGCTAAGTAGTTCTACAAGAGGTATTTAGTAAAGCCTTAATATGTCCCAATAGAATTTCCCTAATTTTGGGAGGCTTTAATTAATCAGTGTTGCCTGAAGAAATCAAAGCATCATGATATGTGTACACAATTTCAAGAAGCACTTATTTGGCAAATGGGCTTTACGCAGCATAGCAAGGGTCATTGTTCCTGGACAACTGTCATTCAATCCAGGTCAAAGAGTACCAAATGCTGCCAGCTATACCCGGTAGCATCATCATCTATTTTGCCCGAATATAAAACAACAACATTGAGTGCAAGCCCCAGAGAATCAGACCAACATGAGACACCGCTCCTTTCCAAGGAGAGACTATAGAATAAACATTTAAGACCAAAGTCAAGGCCACATCATAATGAATGAAGCCACAACGTGCTGTATATCTGAAGCATCTTCTGTTCTGGACAAATTACTGAGTGAAACTTTAACCCTGCTGAAGGACAATGGCTGTTTTGCCATCATCTTCTGTGGAGCCAAAGCTTCCACCCGTTGTGTCTCTGACATTTTAAAAAGCCACTGTAACTCAAAACCTTCCGTTTACATACCACTGAGTTCAACAGGAAACACATATAATAGTTTATGTTTCTTTTTCAAATCCATTTTAGTACACTATATGAAATTAAAAACCTCAGTGACCTTTAAAAACCATCACAAAATATTTGGTAATTGGTGTATTTTTCCACTGTAATTGAGAAGCAGATTGTGATCTTTCACTTTTCAAATCCCTTTTCCCTGATAAACTCCTGAGGGGCAACTACAACAAAGTTCTGCAGCTCAGTGTTCCTGAATAGCAATCTCAGTCGTGGTCCTTCTGTGTCACTAGTGCATGCATCCCTAGAAAGGGTAACACAATTAAAGACCTCTGAATTAATCTTTGTGAAATTTTCCCAGATCTGGAGTGTGCTATGTGACAGCAGTGTAGTAGGTTAAAACAAAAAATTATGTTAATAAGATGTTCAGATGGTAGCTTTTAGAAGCACCTATAAAACGCTTTTAAAGTACTGCCATTAAAATGATTTAAAATATGGGCATGGCCCATCAAGTTCTGTATGTAGATATTCTATGATCCTTACAAGTGCACTTATTCAATTAACAGTCATACCGCTGTATGACAAAATGTTGGCATGTTTTACAAGTAACCTCACCCCTGATGCACAGGACAAACTGACATGTGCTTATTACACATGTCCTGCCCTGCTGGAGTCTGTTGTTACTGGTGAATTTGGTGTGCTGATGGGGGTGGGATATTGACTTATGCCTCGAGAATAAAATTACACTTGTGATTCGCCATTCCCCCTCTTTCCTCAGACGAGCATGGTGGATTTCCTTCTGTGACTGGAGTTTGTCTGACTGACAGTTTAAAGGTCTGCTGAAGTTAACTTTTTTTTTTTTTAATCATACAGCAAAACTGGCAAACTGCTCTGCAAGTATTTACTTTTCATCAGCCATCTGGGAGCCAAAGCTCTCATGGCTGCTGCTTTGGCTATTGCTGGTGCAGCTGTGGGATCAGAAACATCTCACTGATGGCATCAATTCGAAGTACGGATAAGCCGAATGAGATGGGCTGACTATGTCTCCTGCAGCTCAGTGGACTCCCTGATCTCCTTACCCACCCCTGGGGTCAGGGAGGCTGAAATCCACCTTCCTTTGAGCCTCTGCATGGTCTGGTGGGAATGAAGGAAGCCCTGACGTGACAGACACTGTCAGCCTCATACCTGTGGAAAACAGTCCCAGAAAAACACTCTGGAACAACTGGAGCTGCCTGAACTCCTGCACAGTGTCTGAAACAATATGCTGCTCTTAGTGACCCCGGGGTTTATGCTCCATGTGAGAGCCAGGTTTTCTAAGTACCACATGGTAAGTTAGAGCTGAAGTTGATTTTTAAAAAATCAAAAAATGAACTGTAAAGGTAATTGAAACACAGGGGTCTCTATGTGGGTTAAGAAAAACAATCAGTGTAATATTAGCTATAGACTCACAAAATATGAACAGAAAGGGAGTTTTGCCTCTTTCTCTTCTATTACAGCTAACTGTAAAGCTAATGCTTCTCTGAACCACATAGCAAGTGCTCACCTTGAACGCCATTCATAACACATGATGAGAACATCCTGCTTTGGTTGAAGAGGTGGACACTGGCACGAGGAATTTGTAAGAAGAGGCACTTGAGACAGAGGAATAGGCATTGAAGACTTGAGTATGTCTTTTACCTCGACCACAGTTGTTATCTCGTTGCAGCTCCCTCTTTCTACACTTCTTACTTTAGCATGAATGACTGCAAATAGAAAAACAGGCATAAGAAAAATAGGCATTGTATTCGAAACTTAAGAATATCTTAAAAACAAAACATCTTAAATAGGAAGTGGTCATTCTGGTTGCGAATCTAGAACTATTCCTTCCTGTGTGGCTTCATGGAAGTGGCTTAGAACAACAAAGGCACGATTCTGATTTGGTTTTCAGTAGGACTGTTGACAAGTGTGAAATTAAACATGTGCTGAGAGCTTTGCCAGACCAAGCCGAATGATCTAGCCTGGAACTGCACACACATAAGTAGTTCCTTTGACTCACACTTGAATAACCCCTTGCATAAATCAGAGATTGTTCCATAGCTGTATGGTGCTATTTCAATTAAATAATGAATAATTTACCTCACAGACAGGTTACATTAATGTAGTCCTTTCAGCAACAAAATGATTTCCCTGTAGTATGCATGCAGAAACCAAAGTCTTGAAAGAAAGGAAGATTTGAAGAAAGTAGCCAGAGACTTAGGATTTTCATGATGACTTATATTTTTTTTCTTTTGCCTTTTTTTTTTGAGAGAGAAGCTAAGTATTGTATTATGTTTCAGTAGTAAAAATTCTCAAATAAAATTAAGTTCTATAAGGTGTTCTTCTGATTCTGAATTATTAAGCATTCACATAGTCATCTTTTATTGAGGAAAACTTTGTGCCTATAGAGTTGCAAGAAGGTGAAGGTCTACAGATTGCTCTGAGGACAGTACCTGACCAGTTTTGTGCCTGAGAATCCTGGAGGTATCTACTACTGTACTACCTTGCGCAGCTTTTTTCATTCTCAAGTTGCTGTGCTAAGTATCAAAACAGAGAAATGAAGAAAGATTTTTACATTAAGGACTTTGTCCTTTTTCCTTATCTAGGAAATACCAGAATTAGAAGGGTGTTCATATAGAACAATCACGAGATTCTTCTGTGAAATTAGCAATGTATGTGTCTCATCTCTGAAACCTCTACGTGCACTAAGTCCTGTCAACAGTGCCAGGAACTTTGAGTGAGAAGGGAATGAATGATTAGGCCCCAAAGGTTTATTTTTATGGAGTTCAACATGAAGATTTAATAACAAGTGGAGGAAAGCCACAGTTACACAAGTTTTGGAGGAAACAGCAAAATACAGGTGCCTTTTTTTCTCTTCTCCACATTAAATGCAGCCCCAATTGACATACATAGAACATGCTGTGATCAGCATGCAGCAACATTGCCCCTGGGAGCTGCCAAGTCAGAGGCAGTAAAATACATCTTGAAACATTTGGAATAAATTTCTAACACAGAGCAAAATTCTAATGCAGACTAGGTTTTATGTGCTAACCTTATCAAGACATAAATAATGGCTAACAGCTACAAAATGCATTGGTAGTTCAATTTTAGAGACTCACAACGTATTTTAAAGAGTGATATTGAAACCAAATAACACCTCAGCTCCTAAACAACAGAAAACTTTTGAAAATATTTATCCATATTTGCATAGATTTTAGTTGGAATTTGCTTTTCAGTGATCAGTGCAGATGTTGACTAACTAGTGTAAGCATTATAAATATCTGTTGCAATGAATGGTTCATGAAAACATTATAAAATTATAGCTATGGTTATAATTATGTTTTAGCTATAGACAAGTAATCAGCTGTTTCTTGTGTTTTAACAACTAAAAAATAGTCCTAAGCAGACAGAAAAACAATTTGACTGTCTACATTAAAAAATCTGTTTTATTTGTAACTTTTTCTCCCTTATTGCACCTCCCAATCATTTCTCACATAAACACATCTGTTTATCTTAAAGGGGGCTGAATGAAAACCTACCTCTCAAAAATAAAGCATTGATTTTACAAACTCAATGCAAATAAATTATTGAAGCTTTTCTAAATCTGTAGATCCTCACCTGCAGTTTTTATTCAGGCAACACTCTCACTGATGTCACTAGAATATGAATTTGAATGGATAAGCCTGTATTTCAGAATAGTCACTTTATACCACTTCTTTTTCACATATTTCAGAGAGTTGTGGAAGCTCATTGTTCCACCTGAGCTTACTCTTTGTGTACTGAGGTGGATTACGGAACTATATGCACCAAAAAGCTATGACAAAATTAACTTTCTAAGTTAGATGTTCAGTTTGATCATTCCCACCAAGCTAGCTATGATTTTTTTTTTGTAGCAGTAGTAAAAAAGACTGAAGCAAATAACTACAAACTTACTTTCATTTAATATCACACAAATAGGAATTTCAAAGTCTATTGTGACAAAACATAATATCCCTATTACACAAGAAATAAAAACATCTCTTGAAGAAACAAATTTTCTGTGAAAAAAATCCTTATACTGCACTACATCACAATACAGCATCTTAAATTCACAGCATCTCAAATAGCAATTTTCTTGGACAGTACAGAAGTTTAACTTGGTGTCTATCTAATCTTACTTAGCTTTTTTTCCTGACTCCCAAGATTAGAAATCCCAGGGGCCAGCATGGAGGGGGCTAAGGAGGAGTGGGACACATACTCACTTGCATCGCCAATATGTCATACAATATATCACAAGACTCTTGGCTGGCTGGTGTAAATTGTCATTGAATTCAGTTGATCTATGACAATTCTTCACCAGCTGAGGCTCTGGCTAGTGAGCAAAAGATAGAATATAACAATTTGTGAATAATAAAGTTACTTTTCAAGTATTTCATTAGGTGCTTCATCTTCGTTAACCCTTAAGGTTCAAAAGGTATGTGATAAAAGTCAACCCTGGTTTATTCCACCTGCTGAAATCAAGCAGGAGCCAGCTAGCTCATGGTCACACTCGCACTGAATCCAACCGCATTAACCAGGTGTGACTGTTAACACTGGCAAGCAGCACTTTCAAAGAGCAACCTGTGGTCACGGTGCACTTTAATGGCCTTTTTTCCCCCCTTGTTTTTTTATCAGAAAAGCACTGCCATCCACGCAGTGACTATTGCTGCCTGCCGGAGATGGGCACCAGTAGTCGCACGTGCTAATATTCAGTTTTGGAAGAGGAAGGCTGGAAGAGTGACACCTGCAAAGGCTGAGGTGCAGCAGGAAGGGCAAAATCGCACTTATCTAAGTCTGCTAACTTACTGTAGCTGTAGTTCTTGCTCAGGTAGGTGGACAGCGTGGGCTTGATCTTCTTGCACCTGCACCGCTCTTGGAGGGAAGAGGAGAGGGGGCGGTTAGGAGGTGGGTGCCCGCGGGGCCGCGCTGCCCGCGGGGCCGCGCGACGGGCGCCCC